TGCAATTGTTAGATCAAAAACACTCACGTATCTCATCTACTGCTGCCGTAACGATTACCATGGGATGATGGCTTGGTANTCAAAGTCATTTTTACTTGCCTTCACCACTCTTCCACAACTTGAAATGTCAAACTTCAGGGTTTGCAATTGTTAGATCAAAAACACTCACGTATCTCATCTACTGCTGCCGTAACGATTACCATGGGATGATGGCTTGGTATACCCATTGGTCCACTTCTTTGATTGTGCTTATAAGAGATCCATACTAAAACTATGAATGCTCATTTCAATTATGAGTTGATTAAGGAAAATTGCACACTCCGAACGAACAAGTTTAAAAAGAATAAACTTTTTTTTCTCACTAATGGTATGTTTAGAATTAATTATCCACTGAATAGTTTTTTGATAAATCCGACGAAATAAACGTGAAATAAACAGTCATTTTTTCCACTCGACTGATCGTGTGCATTTCACGAGAAACGACGAGCATATAAACAAACAGCCACCAATAACGAAATGTACCCGCAAATGTGTCCAAATCTTCAAGTAACTTTCCGAAACGAACAAAATTCTTATAGTTCATATATTGCAGTCGCAATGATGGTTCACTGCCCAACGGTATGGCAATACTATCGCGGCTCTCATTCATCGTGCGACCTTCCAGACATGCGATATCACCACTGAGTAACACATTTTTAGGCACTTATTTCGTTGTGTCATTCACAAAACTGTATTGGATGTCTTGAAAGGAGAGTAGTGCTGGCCAAAATACTTGATTTAATTCATGATTGTATCTCACTTCAATTAAAAGAATGCTTGTTGCCCGTAGGAGAAATTCGAGAATTTAGGAATGAATTCTAAAGAGAGATTTTTTGTACTTTGAAGGCAAGAAATGCGAGATAATTTATACTCGATTCAGTAAAACTCAAAATAACAAAACATAATGACTGATCATTGGGGCGAATATGATAACGAAATGTCCTTATTGTTATTGTTAGTGAATAATCAATGAGACAAAATACACCTCCGCTGTTGGGCATATTTAATTGCAGATACATGCTTCTGAAGTGTTTCAGCCACTGAAAATTTCAAACAATGCAAATTATAAGGTTGGATGTTTTCTTTGAATTGGTAATTGAAAGTTGATTAAAGCATGAAAGGACAGTTCCGAAACACCGACACTTCTGAAAATATCCACCAAATTCGAATATTCCTTTCTTGCAAAAGTGGGAAACGCACGCTGAGACTAATATTATAGTACAGTTTGAAAACTAACTCATCGCT